TAAGAATTTCTGTTGTTTTGTGGTATATTTTAAAGTTTGGAATGTTGGTTTAAAATAGGGTGTTTTTGTAAAGTAGTCTATGTTTCATTATGAGTCACTAGTTACATTTTTAGTCGATAGTTTTTTATTGAGGATTGTTTATTGACTTATATCTAATAATTTTAATATATTAAGTACTCTATATGCTTTTTCTATTAAGGGAGCAATTGATGTATTTGTTTCTCATATCCTAAAAGTCCAAGGGGTAGTGTTATTTTATAACGGGAATTGTTGTATAGGTGTAGAGAAATAATATCTGAACTTGTAATTTTTGTGTATTTGATTGATGAAATCGTTACTCTAAAAACTTTGTGAATTGGTTTCAACTCAAAATTTTACATGTATAGTCGTTCTTTATTTTGATCGATTTGTATTGATGTACTTGACTTATTGAGAAGTTATAAGCATATCCTGATAATGGTTTTAGGTGTTTTCGTTCTTGGTTGTATAATGTGTAGAATTTGGAAGAAAATAGAGGTTGTTTTTTATTCTTTGAAAAAAGGTTAAGATGTGTCATTTGCCCTTGTTTAGTTATCTCGCATATGTAATTTACAATTTAGAATATTAATAGTGAGTGTATATTTAGTAATAAATGGAATTCCAACAGTGATGTGCTTTTTATCTGTGATAAGAAATGTTTAAGTAAAGGTTTATTTATTATTTTGTTTTTTGTTCCATTGTTCGAGTGGGAACGAGGAAAAATTGGAATTCTCCATAGTTTGTTAAACTTGCTCATTCTGATGTGGCTAGTTTGCTTGAAGTCCTTAAAGATGACAATTTTCGATTAAGAGTTTGAATTTCATTTCAATTGGGATAATTATGATATTTGCTTCTGGACCTGAGTCTATTAAGAAACCAACTTCATGGTCTGGTGATTGAAAATTTTTGTTTTTTGGATTTTCTAAGAGAAAGTGAATGGGTCCAAATTTTTTCCTTAGGTGCTTGTATTTTGTATGTTGTATTTTGATATATGTTATTTGTACTTCTTTTTCCTTTGAGTTCTTGTTCAGTGTAATCTGCCATGTTTTGTGTAATTTTTAAAATAAAAATTATTAAAATCTTCCTTATTTTGATAATAATTCGATTCAATTATTGTTTCGTTTTCTTCTTTAATGTGAAGCATGTTTATTGAAAGCGGATTTTCTGTTTCGCTCTCGTCATCTGTGTATTCACATTGTATGTGATTTAGATGTAATTCTGAACTTTCTGTTCTATCAATACCTGGAGGATCTGAGGTTGATTTCTTCAGTTGATTGTACTTGATTAATTTAGTTTGGTTTTTAGGTGTTCTGCTTCTTTGATTTTGTTGTGAATTTTGATATTGTGTATTACTTCTGATTCGATTTTCACAGTTGTTTAATTGTTTCATTAGGGAGTCTACGGATTTTGTTACATAGAACTCTTTGATGTTTCTTATTTCGTTCAGAGTCGAACATTTTTTAAAATTCTTGTGCGAATTTTTTCCAGTCTGATTTAATTTCTATTGGTAAAACAGAAAACCACTTTTTTTGCTGCGCCATCAAGTGTGGTTTTGGACTAGAGAAGCTGTACGTCTGTGCATTCAATTTTGATAAGTGGCGTATTTACTGGTTCAGGTCCTATATATTTATAATTAAGTTAGCTGAAACTGAATTTGAATAATCTTCTACTGAGTATTCAGGATCTGTTCCTGTGAATACCATCAGTGGATAATTAGAAGATATGGAAGATCCACCCATAAAGTATGGTTTCATCGTCATCTGAATTGATTCTGCGGTAATTGGTATTTGAGAAAAGTTTGTAAGTTGTGTTTTTTTTTCGTGCTGTTGTATTTAAAATTGTTATTTTTTTTCATTTTGCATTTTTGTTGGTTGATAATCTTGTCTTTTTATTGAATTTGTATTTGAAAATTATTGTTTTTGTATGAGTTTTGTTTTGGAGGAAAATTTTGTCTTGATTGTCGTGTTTTTGCATTTCGTGTGTAGAGTTCAAAAAGATCTGGTTGACAAATAGGATCTGGTTGATCAATATTCCAGCTATTTTTTGTTGATTTGTGGTAAATCGTTGTTGGTTTTGGCTGAAAATAATCTTCATCTTCTGAATAATGTGGTTGATTTCTTGTAAATTGTTTCGCATTAATGTTTTTACTTTGATGGAGCAACGGGAATTCTTCACTACGATCCACTGTGTCTCGTTGTTGATCGTTGAAAAAAAAACTGAGTGGTGAACTTGTTATTTGCACTTTTGTGCCTGTGATTGATTTTGGCTGTTTGTATAGGGAGGTTTTGCTATGTTATTGTTTGCAAAAAACTTGTAATTATTATCTGAAAATTTTTTTTCATTAGTTTTTTCTGTTTGTTTGTTTGTCGTTATGGTGTTGCTGGTCTACTTGTCTGATAATCCATTTCTGAGTGTTTTGGAGTAACAGACGGTTTTACTGTTGATTGTATAGTTGTTTGTAGAAATGCAGTATTTTTTAACTTGTGGTTTGTAAATGTAGGGTGAATGGGAGAAAATTTTTGTTGTGTTATTGTCGGCATTGATTCGACTATTTCTTATTTAACGAAATGTGATGGAGTTTGAATATCTTGATGTGTAAGATTTCTTTTTCCATTCAAGTTTTCTTGTCTGTTATTGAATGTAGAGCTTAAATTATTATTTCCTGTCCTATCAGTGAACCTTGCATTATAATTTAACGGTGTTCTATCGATAGTAGGTGGAGTTAATTCAATATATTCTCTATTTACTGAGTTAGCAGTAATTGCTGCACTTGATATATCAGTTGTTATCTTAAAAAAGGATGGATGAGACCAATCAGGGTCCAAACATAATCTGTTTTATCTGCTAATACAGTTTCGTCGTTTGAGCTTTGTGGTCGAAAACTATTTCTTGGTTGTGCTATGCAATCGATTTTATGAACAAAATAATCAATTATGAACCATGCTCACTTTTTTTAGTAGATCGTGTTTGACAATTTGGGAAATTTCATTTTTAATGAGATTTTCACGGATTGTATCTAAAATTTTGAAAATTTATTTCATGTCTTACAGTTGAGTGTCGGGATGTTTGAGCCCGTGATTCATTTTGTGCTTCTTTTAGTTCTAATATAAATATATAACTATAAACAATAGACAAAACTTCATCTTGAATATTGAATTTGCTCTTTGTGAAATTTGATGTTGTATTTTTTTATATATTCTGTGAAGACTTCTGAGAATTCTATATCTATGTCATCTGTTTGTATTGATGTACTGTTGGTTTGATTATTCTGGTAGGATTTCGGTTGTGAATATAGCGTAATATGAAGTACTATTACAATTAACTTTGAGATAGTGATCAAGAAATTGTCGTTTTTTTTCTTATTTCAGGAAATTACTGTTTTCATGGGATACTTCTTGTTTCGAAAAAAAAATAACGATTAAGTTGTAACAAAATTGTACTTGTCCTCGAGCGGGATCACTAAGTATTGAATTATCGTCGAAGTTTTTGTCGAATTCTATCTGTTTTTGTATCTTAAAAATGTTAGTGTATAACTTTCAATGTGTCTTCTGGTTGATTCCAACTGTACGGTTGTTCTGGCTTATCAAAATATGATTTTTTATATTTACGTTTTCCTTAAATTAATGATGATGATGTAGCCTCTGAGTCAGAAACACTTTTGATTTTCTATCGGGTTATTTTTGTTTATTGAATCTTTCAGGTCTTGAAGTTCCTGTATAGTATTTGTATCTGATTCTCAAACTGCGTTTTTGTTTTCGAAATACGTCTTTTGATAATTTGTTTTGTTTTGCTATTTTTGTCTTTTTTGGGTATGTATTTTTGATCTGATATATCCTGTTGTTTGTCTGTGCTGTGTGATTACAAGATCATATCTTTTTCTTTATTTAAGCAATTGTGTAATATGATTGTTTGTTTACTGCCTAGATTATCTCATGACATAAAGTTTAGGATGATGGGTACAATACTCGGGGGTTAGAGTTTCTATTTTCCTAACCTGTTAGTTCTTACATTTTTTTTGTGTGGTTATTTTAATTTGGGGTATAGATTGTCGTGGTTGACGGGTTGGAGAGAGTGTATATCAATTCGTGAGAATGATTTTTTCTTTCTCGTGTCTGGATTTTATACATGATGAACTTACTTAATCTAACCTAGTTGTTTGATTTGTGAACGAGGGTTGGAGAATAGTAAATCAGTCCACAAGGTTCAGGTATAATTTCAACACAAGTAGATCGTTAGATACTTTTTTAAAACCTACTAGTATTGTTAAGGGTTTTAGCCTGGGTCATCGAAGAGGAAGGGCTCAAGTAATGGATGAGTAACCGAAGTTCTTCACTGTCTATCCTAATTAAAATGGTTAGTCCTTCAAAAATTTCTATTGATTATGGGTCTTTATAAGGGTTGGGTAGTAAATCGACGTTTAGCTTAGACACTTCAAATTATTGGGTGGGAAAACAAAGTTGTTCTGATTGATCCAAGGGAAGCCTTGACAATCAGAAATTCACGTGAAATGAAATTGAATTTAAGTGAAATTAAAGATCCAAGGAAAGCCCTGATGATCTCTTTATGAAACAAAAAATGAATTATTGAAAAGCAAGGATAAGCTTTGATAATTGTTTAAGGTAAAAATTCAATTTGAAGAAAATTTAAATGTTAGATTTCAAATTATTTTAGTTCCTTGAATTCATGTGGTTCTGTTGTAGGTGAAAAAGTTGAAATAAAGAAAAAATTATTTGAGTTTAATTTAATGAAACTAACAATAAATTTTCATACTAACTAATTTTGTGTTTTTTATTCATTAAATTAAATGTGCAAAAAATTTAAATTACTGCAGATTTTGGGTAGAACGACTTGTGTATCTTTTTATCAGTCGTTATTGTTTAAATATTAGGAATAGCACCAAGGAGATTCTTGAAGAAATTTTCTTCGAATGATTTTCATAATACTAATTCAATGTTTAAATTTACTGCATAAAGTATTCTGAATACAAATACTTGTTCCGGTTTTTGTCGTACTATCATGAAGTAGATCGGTCTGTCTCCTAATCATTGTTCACGGCTTGATCTTGGTCTTCTTGAAATATCTAGTATTTCTCGTATTGTTTAAAATTTTGGCGTAAATTTATTCAGACGTAGATACATTTCTATTAAATTGTGCATTCCATCTAACATTTTGCAGTTTTGCAATAGTCTAATTCTAATTCTAATTGTCTAATTTCAAGTTAGTTAAGGTCTTGTTCAAGACTTTTGGTCGCACCAGATGAGTTATGTACGAGGTACTGTACTCATAGAGTAATTTCAGATAAGGTACACCGTCTGTTCGTCACGTTATCTTATTTTAGGCCGGATAGTGAGTTAGTTTTTAGGTTTAACTCATAGAGTAATTTCGGATACGGTACACCGTCTGCTCGTCACGCTATCTTATTTTCGGCCGGATAGATTCGTGCAACTTCTTAGTCTAATACCGATCCTAATCTTACTCTTATATCTACTAGTCTCAGGGTGTTTAACTAGTCTCTGCTACGCTCAATAGATCTAGAGTATACTGGCTTATTGTGATTGCTAAAGTTCTCTTGGAGAGGTAACTAATTCCTAAGTTAAATTCAAATCTCTCTGGTGCTGAAATTACTAGTAATTTCAGCACTTACAAATAAGTGGGTTGTTAGTTAGATGGATCGTGATTGGTTAATATTAAATATTTTATAGAGACAGGATATCCAATTTATAACCAATAATAAATATAGTTTATATCTGGTTCCAATAGGTTCGTGCATTAAACTATTTCCAATCTTAATTTTACTCTTATATCTCCTAGTCTCAAAAGATCTAGTGTATACTGGTTTTTGCGAGTTAGTTCTTGAAGTTTATCAGAAAGAGAACAACTGAAGTCTAAGATTTATTCAAGTTGTTCTGGTGCTGAGACTACAAGTAGTTTCAGCACTTACAAATAATTGTCAATCTTGGTGATGGAATATGATTGGTTAGTTAGTAATACTTTTTAGAGATAGTTTTATCAATTTTATACTTGGTTTATAAATACTAGTTTAGAATTTATCATTGGTCTGGTTCTATTACCTCCGCAGAACTTGGTCCGTTCCATTACCTCATTGGTCTGTTCCATTACCTCCGCAGAACCGCGCTGAACTGGTTCCATTACCTTCGAGTTATTACTGTGGCATTTACCTGGAAAACACGCTTTATTCACGCTCATTTTTGGATTTTGCTGAACAAATAACTTTAGGAGACGTGACCAAAATGAAGATGTACACTATATTGGGCGGGTTCTTTTTCAAGTGTGATCTAACTTTTTTCATTCCCACGAACCATCTTGTGAGCTTCACCAAACCGCAGCCTCCTCATCTGATGGCCAAATACAGATCATCTATTCTAATGCATCGGGGCATCAAAATCAAGGAAAACGAAGCAGGGACTAAGAAAGAACCTCTACCGGAGGACCAAATTCTGATGACAGTTTTTCCGCAACCACAGTACCAGTTTGAAGTAAGTAAAAACTGAACGGAAGACAGGAGAAATTAAAAGCCTTGTATTTTTAGGTATATTTCTTGCAACACCCATAATTGATGGTAATAGTTTAGTTTTTGCTTTTAAATCGCAGACAGATTTTTGTTCCGAACACTGAAAACTCAGTGTGTTTCAGTTTTTTTTGTTTTCAAAATCAGTACCACAAATAACCAGCGGAATGGGTAGAGTGATATGTCATATTAAAAATCTTTCAATCGTAAATCAAAAGACGTGAGAAAAATTGATTTGAATCACGCCGCGCAGAAAAAACAACCCAATTTAAAAAAGTTTGCGATATTTTTTCAAGAAATTGTTCCAGCAATCTGTGCTACTTGCACAGTAACCGGCTATCCTTGTTTTTTTGCAAAATGTCAATTTTAAGAAAATCATTAACTGTTCATGTAATTCGTACTTTAAAGTTTGCATTTTAAACTGTTCTGCCCATAAAGGGTTTTACGAAATCAAATATGAAAAAAATAATTAAAATGATTGCAAAAAAATCAGTCTTTTTGTATTATGAAATTTTAGATTAAAGTTTTTTAGAAGAAATAATTCAGTCATCCAGACATGTACTGAAATCACTGATTTTGACCACTCTTGTGGACTAGAAGGGAGCAATGGCGAGGAGTGGACTTTCTCCGCCATGTTTTAGATACCAAACTTTTCAAAGAAAGATTGTATATGTTTATTTTAAAATGATAACTTTTGGGTCTTGATTGTGATTTCAGACAGACTTTCCATTTCTATCAGTTTCTATATTTCTTGTAAATAGTTTCAAACTTAAACAGTTTTAAACTTTTTGTAATTCATCTATACGAGCAATAAAGTCTTCAAATTAATTACAAATTTCGGTTCAACCATTTAAAATTGAAAAAACTTAAACTATATTTCAAACAGTAGCGGATATAGGGGGGAAGACGCCCCCTCAGGGATTCGACCCCCTGCCGACCCAAAGGGTCCGCCCTTTGTTTTTTTTTAAGATATCTATTTTTGGCTGACTGACCTTCAAATTTTTTTAGAGGCACATTCGGCGCCAAATTATACTAATTTTAAGAGGCGAGCGCGCGCCGATAAAACGCGAGTTTTTGATCGAAAATTTCCAAAAATTGCCTAAAAACGCCTTTTTTGGCAAGTCTTTTCAAAATTTTGCCTGCGGCGCAAAACAAATTTGGTCTAATTATGGTCGTCATAGTGATATGGGACAGCTCAGAAAATCAATTTGGTTGACCAAAAAAAAAAGTCGACAAAATTGTGAAAACTTTTTTGAAAATCCGCCCCCCCCCCCTCTCTCTCTCTCGAGAAATTCCTAGATCCGCGCGTGATTTGAAATAACAATCGTTTTTCTTTTGTTCTGATAACTGAAAGTACGGAGGATCTTTGTATTTGGGCTTCTTATTTTTTTTTCATTCCAAAACAAGTATGACAAATAATACTCTATCTGTTTTGCGTTTTAATCCTATAAACAGGGGCGGATCTAGGATTTTCTCGAGGGGTGGTGGATTTTCAAAAAAATAAAATTTTTGTCAACTTTTTTTATGGTCGACCAAATAGACTTTCCAAACTGTGCCAAAGCACGGAAAAGACCTTGTTTTGGCCAGATTGTCTGCGGCGCAGGCAAAATTTTGAAAAAAAACAGGCCAAAAAGACGTTTTTGGGCTTTTTTTGGAAAATTTTGACTAAAAAACTGCATTTTTTTGGCGCGCACTCCTCCCTTAAAGTATATATTGGCGCCAAAGGCGCCCTTAGAAAAATTTTAGGGTACGTCACCGAAAATGGATATCTCAAAATAGTACAATGGGGGACCCTTTGGATCGGCAGGGGGTCGAATCCCTGAGTGGGGGGGGGGGGGGGTAGGGGAAGGGGAAACGTCCGCCTCCCCCCCCAAATCCGCCCCTACCTATAGACAATTGGAAAACATATTATTTGTGCTTGTTTTTTGAATTTTTAGAAAGAAAGTTTATTTCGTTTTAGTTATTAATTTTCCTGAAATAACTGTGGTGACATTTTCAATTTCAATTTCGAAAAGTGGTCGAAAATTTCAATTTAGCTAATTAAACTACTCAAAAAAATGCTGGTCCTTATTTTCACCCAACACTTTCTGCCAAAGCTTCCAGGTAAAAAGAATGAGAAAATCATTCAACTCTGATTTTGGTCGTTCAGTGGTCGTTTTAAGGACTAGATCCCCTCAAAAAAAGTATTACTCCATTTTGAGGTTGGTAGTTTTCTTTGAAGAGGGTAGACGCGTAGAAGCCCATCTGACAAAATTTTCAGAATCCTTGCGTGTTTTTTACAGTTTTAAAAACATCTTAATTCAAATAAACAAAGTATACTAGCATATCAAGCAAAACCCCGGCTGCCTCTTAAAGTTGAACAGAAAAAATCAATGCTTCAAAAAAATCACTAGAAAAACATCGGAAATGTCAAAATGAACAATTTTATCAATTTTTATTTTTTGTCTTCATTGTATCCCCCACGCGCTATGCATACTACAAAGAAATGTTAGCGTCTTGTTTATCGTTTTAAGTTGACCAAAATGCTGGCCTGAATTCAATTAAGAGTTGTTTAGTTTGCCGCTTACGCGTATCAAATTGGGCAATTGAGCGATTTCGAAAAGTTCTTATTTTTACAAAAAACGCTTTTATAGATGTCATGATTTTTTGTTTGATTTTTTTGTTTTGAAAAAATTTGAAACTTTGATCACGCTATTATTTGATTTTTTTTTCTGCGGTTTGATTTTTGATTTATTTTTGTCCCAAAACGTTTCATAAAATCAATAAAAATAAAAAGATAGCAATGTTCGGACCATTTGAAAAATGGGGCGAACCTTGTATTCTGATGTGTTTTAGTTTTGTGTTCCGATCATTGACAATGGAGAGGAACTTAGTATTCGGGTATATTTTAGTTTTTTTTTGTTCCGACTATTGAAAACAGGGAGGAACTTTGTATTCAGAAGTGTTTTAGTTTTTTTTTGTTTTCCACGCAAAATCAGGTACCACAAATAACCATCAGACTGGCTTGAGTGATGTATCATATTAAAGCCCTTTCAGTCGTGGTTCAAACCACTTAAAAAATCTCCAAAATTTTTTTCCACTGTCGAGAAAAACCGGTTTGAAAATTTTGATTTTTCGCATTAATTCGAGCGAATAAAGCAAGCAAGCAGGCTTACAACTAAATTATGCCTAATTTGAGACCTTTAAATTCAGTTTAAGGCTAGTAAAACATGTTTCTGAAGTTTTTTAGCTTCATTTTGGGAACCAAACAATTCGAAAAAATCAAAAAAAAAATTGTGTAATTTCTTGTTTATTTTTAAAGTTTTTTTAGGTTTTCGTAGAGTTTGCCTTTAATACTATGACTAAATTGTATTTCTACGTCAGATCTTTTTAATACACCAAGCAGAAAAAAACTACACTCATTTGGAAAAAAAACTTTTTAACCCGTAGTTTTCTAAAGACCAAGTCGGAACTTTCTGTGCTACTTGCACGGTAACCGGCTATCCTTTTCATTTTGTTTTTGCAAAGTGTCTGAAATTTTGATCATGTTATTATCTTTTTTTCTGGTGTTTGATTTTTGATTTATTTACAAGTTCATTTCATTTCCTTTGTTAAAAAGTATTGTAACAAAATTTTAAGGTTTTTCGAAAACTGAGTCCCTAAACTTTTTAAAATCAAAAAGAATTAAACGCTAGCAATGCTCAAATAATTATTGCTCGCGTATTGACTCATATACCGTGCCTGACACCTTACAAAAAATTTTTCACAGGGTTTCTCACCAACGGATTTTCTGACGTGTCGCACGATGACCCCCTGCTGCTCTACTTTTACTTCTTGTCATTTCACATCTTGACTCGGAACTGAAACGTCGTTTTTCCGAAAAACTGGTGCAAACTGACAGGTAAACGTTTATAACATTGATCAACTCATAGCATTCGAAACTAACTTGACTTACCTCATGGCGATCAACGAAATCGCAGCTAGTTAGAATAAGGGTTCTTTCTGAATGTTGTTAAAACTTTCCTATTCCTATTCACCAGACAAACTTTTTTTCACTCGTAAACAAGTTTATTATTGCAAATATCGGGGACACACATATAATATAGAACAAGGGTTATTGGATATAGATTGATTGTGATAGTGATAGTGATAGTGATAGTGATAGTTTGGTATACTTTCGCTTGGCTTATATACGGTAAATTTCCATATTTTCAAGATTCCGTCAGTTGTTTAAATCAATTGGAAAGAGATAACATATGTCGCAATGTTTGCTTTTGGTGATTTTTTATCAACCTATTAAACACATAACTTCAAGATAGCATATGGTAAACGTTTAAGAATTGTGTTTCTGATTTCAATTCAAAGCTCCAACCGTCTTTTAGGGTGATTGTTAAACGGTGATATCAGTTGGAAAAATAAATTTAGAAGAAAATTTCTAATTTACAAAACATCAATATTTAATAGAATTTCCGTAAAGTTTTTTTTGTTTCTGATTTTGACAGTTTGCTCGTAAAATGGCGGCTTTTAGTGTAGTCGGTCGATGAATGGCTGCTTGTGATGTAGTTGCTTCGTAGTATTGCGTCTTGTAGAAAAGGTGCATTTATAGCAGATCAGTGATTTGTAGAGTTGCAGCGGCGGCCAAATCACAGCTGGGTCTTTTAAGAAATATAACATCAATAGGATTTTTTCAAATTTGGTTTGGCAAAAATACTTATCGGCATTACTGGACTATAATTGTAGAAGCATACTTTGAAGGGTGGTGGCGGCTAAATCACACTTGTTGGATATAAATGAATACAAATTTTAAAAATAAAGGGAAGGAGGTCAACAGGTAGTCTTGACACTAATAGTTTCCTTCCGCCTTGGTTCTAGGCTCAAATATTTGTTGCTGAGATCCTTATTTTTTTCCCGGAGAGCTGTTTTGATTTTTTGCATTTGGTTGATACGATTTAAGTTGTTTATATAATTCTTTTGCATCTGATCCGTGTAGGAGTCAAGGATTGGAGTTTGCATTTGGGCGGTTATAAAGGCTGCTGGAACACAAATGTTGAAAAGATTGAGCGAATAAAGCAAGCAAGCAGGCTCACAACTAAATTATGCCTAGTTTGAGACCTTTAAACTCAGTTTAAGGCTAGTAAAACTTGTTTCTGGAGTTTTTTAGCTTCATTTTGGGAACCAAACAACTCGAAAAAACCAAAAAAAAATTGCATAATTTCTTTTTAATTTTTAAACTTTTTTTAAACTTTTTGTAGAGTTTGCCTTTATTACTATGACTGTCTATTATGCCTAATTTATATTTCTACGTCAGATGCTTTTATTACACCAAGCAAAAAAAACTACACTCATTTGAAAAAAGAACTTTTTAATCCGTAGTTTTCTAAAGACCAAGTCGGAACTTTCTGTGCTACTTGCACGGTAACCGGCTATTCTTTTTATTTTGTTTTTGCAAAGTGTCTGAAATTTTGATCATGCTATTATTACTTTTTTTGGTGTTTGATTTTTGATTTAACTACAAATTCATTTCATTTACTTTGTTAAAAACTATTGTAACAAAATTTTAATGTTTTTCCAAAACTGAGTTCCTAAACTTTTTAAAATCAAAAAGAATTAAACGCTAGCATTTGTCGAATAGTTATTGCTCGCGTATTGACTCATATACCCTGCCTGACACCTTACAAACAACTTTTCACAGGGTTTCTCACGATTGGATTTTCTGACGTGTCGCACGATGACCCCCTGCTGCTCTACTTTTACTTCTTGTAATTTCACATCTTGACTCGGAACTGAAACGTCGCTTTCCCGAAAACTGGTGCAAACTGACAGGTAAACTTTTATAACATTGATCAACTCATAGTTTTCAAAACTAACTTGACTTACCTTATGGCGATCAACGAAATCGCAGCTAGTTGGAATAAGGGGACTTTCTGAATGTTGTTATGACTTTTCTATTCTTATTCAACAGACAAAATTTATTTCACTCGTAAATAAGTTTATTATTTCAAATATCGGGGACACACATCAAATATAGAACAAGGGTTATTGGATATAGATTGATTGTGATAGTGATAGTGATAGTGATAGTGATAGTGATAGTGATAGTTTGGTATACTTTCGCTTGGCTTATATACGGTAAATTTCCTTATTTTCAAGATTCCGTCAGTTGTTTAAACCAGTTGGAAAGAGATAACATATGTCGCAATGTTTGCTTTTGGTGATATTTCATCAACCTAGTAAACACATACTTTCAAGCTAGCATATGGTAAAAAAATTAAGAATTGTGTTTCTGAATTCAATTCAAAACATCCAACATTCTTTTAGGTTGATTGTTTAACGGTGATACCAATTGATAAAGTAAATTCAGAAGAAAGTTTATAATTTACAAAACATCAAAAATTTTAATAGAGTTTGCGTAAAGTTTTTTTTGCTTCTGATTTTGACAGTTTGCTCGTAAAATGGCGGCTTTTAGTCGGTCGACGAATGGCTGCTTGTGATGTAGTCGCTTCGTAGTATTGCGTCTTGTAGAAAAGGTGCATGTATAGCAGAGCAGTGATTTGTAGAGTTGCGGCGGCGGCCAAATCACAGCTGGATCTCCTAAGAAAAATAACATCAATAAGATTTTTTCAAATTTGGTTTGGCAAACATACTTATCGGCATTACTGGACTATAATTGTAGAAGCATACTTTGTAGGGTGGTGGCGGCTAAATCACACCTGTTGGATATAAATGAATACAAATTTTAAAAATAAAGGGACGGAGATCAACAGATAGTCTTGACACTAATAGTTTTCTTCCGCCTTGGTTCCAGGCTCAAATATTTGTTGCTGAGATCCTTATTTTTTTCCCCGGAGAGCTGTTATAATTTTTTGCATTTGGTTGATACGATTTAAGTCGTTTATATAATTCTTTTGAACTTGATCCGTGTAGGAGTCAAGGATTGGAGTTTGCATTTGGGCGGTTATAAAGGCTGCTGGAACACAAATGTGTTGATGGGGGAGTTGTGGATTAACCAGATGGAAGGCACCGTTACCGTTTTAAAAGGGTGATAGGTTTCTATCTTAAATCGGTTAATAAAGAGAGAGAGAGAGAGAGAGAGAGAGAGAGAGCGCATAATTTAAACTGGTATCAAAATTTGGCGGTTTTCTAGGGTTGAGGTTTTGGTCCTTTTTGACTTGGATCGCAATTTTTGTTTCAATTTCTTGAGAATTTGCTGATAGGTGAAATAGTATAGTTTCAGAATGTAGGTAAAGCCGAGTTGAGGAAGAGGGGAGAATTTTGAAAGGTCGGATAATAGCTTTTCTTTTTTGAATGTCATTAGAGGGTTTCACTTTCGGGATTGTAAAATGGGTATTCAATTTTGGCTAGATTGTAAAATGGGTATTCAATTTTGGGTATTCAAGTAGAGTCTGAAGAAAATCAGCGGGTACAAAATATAAAATAAATTAGACCGGTACAGCGGGTCGATTAGTGTAATCGACTAGTTGGAGTCTAGCATAAATTTTGTCCTGATTTTCATTTTCAGAATCCTCTTGTTGAGGTGCTTGAGGCCTATGATCATGCATAATATTTTAATCGTACTCATTTTGAGCGAATTTTGAAGTCACTATAGAAGTGAAAAATCTATTGTAAAAGGCGGCCAACATAATTTTTCCGAAATGAAGACATCGGCTGGTTAGTTTGTGTATGTGTGAAACTTTTATTACGGATACAAGAGCGTCGAGTATAAACTTGACAAACAGGAAAGAGGCGAATATTATTCCGCATCTTTCTAAATAGTACTGTTTTGTACCAAAAATACGAGTGTGTTCGTTGTTCCACAAATCAGACGAGATAAGATAGTCTAAGAATACGTTTTGCGTAGATCACGTATTGACTACTCGAGTCCGGATAGAACTGTTTTCTCGCATTAGGAAAAGTTTGGGATACTTTTTGTAAAATACCCTTCATTTCAAAGTGATCAGTAATCATGCTCCAAAATTTTATTTTTGTGCATAAGTGTAAATAGAAGTCTCATGGCTAGATGCAAGAGAGTGTTTTACTTGCCGTTTAAGTTCTTTCGGCTGAAAAAGATCTGGACTTTTTACTCTAGTAATAAACGGTGTGATTTTGATCCAAGAATTATAGTTATCAACATCTAGTTGATAAAAATTTAAATGATTATCGGAGCAGTCTTGTTGATCTGTCGATTTAAAAGTTTGTCGAGTGATCGGGTAGACGAAATGAATTTTTTCGCAATACATAATTGGTATCCGATTATAACATGCATCCATTAATTGAAATGGAGAATAGAAATTTGGGCAGTGGTAGAGCCAAGCAACATTGCCTTTGATCTCAGGCTTTCGATAGAGAGCATTAAAGTGTTCAGAATCATGGAGCATTCTAACTCACATTAATTCGTTCAAAGTTCCAATTCGGCAGTTTGAAGCATGTAAAAGCTTCGAAAAAGATTATAACCTAGTTTTGTTCCTAGACGAGCTTCTTAGTCTATTTGTCCCGGTGCAAAAGGATAATTTTTACTTTTAGTGTTTTTCACAAGTCAAATTTGGTTCCGAATGAATAATTCCTGTATTAGCATTCGGGTTTATTTGTAAACCGGTATCCATATTCAAACCGTTCTGGTATGCTACGAACACTGATTCGTAATGGCTCGGGTAGACTATTTTTGGGTGTCAACATAGAGATGTTGTTTTATTTAGAATTTTTAGCATAAATTGTTGAGTGTCTCTACCTCGCGTATGGTGATTGGATTTTATAATAAAAGACTCTTTTACAATATGATAATTTTCTTCGTTTTGAACAATTTTTGCTTCGAATTCATTGAGGACCGAAAAAATGCAGTTAAGGGGCTCGTCCCAAATATATGCAAAAGGGTCGAGTGGTGTTGTGTCACATCAATTTTCATAG